TATGTTGTGGGGTTGTTAACCAATGTCATAAAACAACATGTGTACTACTGTTTCATGAGAAACTATTTGTTCTGTAAGCCTTCACCTGAAGTACAATAAGAGAAAAAAAAAGAAAGGTAAACTCCAGAAATCAGAGTTCCCTGGGTTCAAATCCTAATTCACTCAAAAATTGGTTGTGTGATCTTTGGCAAGTTAGATAGTCTCTCTGTGCCTTAGTTTCCTTGTGTGAAGAATGGGTACAATAATAATTATCTACTTCACACAGTTGTTTTAAGAATTAAATGAGATAAAGTATCATAAGGTAATTAGCACATGGTCTGCTAAATTGCTTGTTATTATTAGATGTATGATCAGCAGAGTATCTGGGCACACAGAGGAAGAAGTAACTAATTCAGCCTAGCATAGTGAGAAAGATATTCTGGTTCTCCTTAAGTCAGACTAGACAATCTCCCCAGAAGGCCACCACTGTGATACTTATCCAAACAATATAGAAAGTCTTCATGTGCATCAAAAACTTCATATGCTTTAATTTGAAACTATTCCCCCCATGGACTCATGGTATAATATCATTATCCTCACACAATAATTAGCAGCCAGTAATTTTTAATAGTCAATATATAATCAATATATATCATGTAAAATTTCATGTCTCAATTCAGTTTATTTATTTCATTAAGTAGCTGTTCTTCATCTGCTTTGTGAGATCATCTCCTCAAGTTGTCACAGTTTTTAAACCTTGGGTTATTCAAACTCATGTATTAAGTCTCCAGCTGAATGTGCCTGTTACTATGGAAACAAGGTCACTGTGTAGGAGGAGCTTGAGGGAAGTATATTCCTGGCACAGAATGCATGGACAGGAAGAAACGAAATTAGAGACATCCATGCCTAGAACACCATCCTGCAGCCATGACAGTATGACAAGGACATATAATGTTGTCTATAATCAGCATTCTATGGGCAAGTTTACACAATGTAGACAGACAGAGAGACTAAGTCAACTACCCACAAAGAACTGTTTTCCCCTGGGTTCCAGAAGCAACACCCTGGATAATAGTACATCTTGTTTACTTATAAGAAAAACTCCCTCTCATTTTACAATAGGGGCATTCCTCCTGCCCACCTCCTTCGGGTGAATGCCCTTAACAACTGCAGTTTGTGAAAAGTATCCATCAAAAGTCCTGCCCTGGAACCTCATTATAAACAGTGTTATCTATGAGGGAGAATGGAGTATAAGTTGATGTATCTCTTATGTGATCTAAATCAGTGGTTCTGAAGCACTAGTATACATCCGAATCACCTGGAGGGCTTGTTCAAGCACAGAATGCTGGGTCCCACCTGCAGAGTTTCTGACTAAGTAGGTCTGGGGCAGAGGACCCTGGCGGCACAGTGGTTAAGCACTCGGCTGTGAACCAAAAGGTCGGTGGTTCGAACCCACTAGCCACTCCATGGGAGAACGCTGTGGCAGTCTGCTTCCACAAAAATTTACAGACTTTAAAAAAAAATTTACAGCCTTGGAAACCCTATGGGGCATAACTACTCTGCCCTATAGAGTCGCTATGAGTCAGAATCGACTTGACAGCAGCGAGTGTTTTTTGGTAGGTCTGGGGTAAAGTATAACAATTAGCATTTCTAACAAGCCCCCAGGTGATGCTAATGATTCTGTTCTGGGGATCACACTTTGAGTAGCACTGACTCAAAACTTAAAAATAAAACTAAAATCCTTAACAATAAAGCATTGTTTATTGAAAGACAAAAGACATCATGTCATGGCAAGGAAAGCCTTTTAGACATGCTGTACAACTCTTAACAATAATATATGTTCACCATTTTAAAGCTATACAAGAATTATTTTTCTCTCTACTTCAAAATGTTCAACAGCATCTGACTCCATTAAATTTTATCAAATTCAGGATGCTGTCTTTTTCTTATTGCGGAGCCCTGGTGGCGTAGTGGTTAAGAGCTCAGCTGCTAACCAGAAGGTCAGCAGTTTACATCTACCAGCTGCTCCTTGGAAACGCTATGGGGCAGTTCTACTCTGTCCTATAGGGTCACCATGAGTCAGAACTGACTCGATGGCACCTAACCACAACAACAGTCTTATCACATTTTCCCTTTATCATTTTTCTCCCCAGGTTCTCCTGACCCATTATTTCTCTCACACAGGACTTCAATTTTCAGCCTGCATCCTGTTCAGAAATCTGTAATACTGCCCCATCACTTCTCTCTCCACTTCTTTCTCCAGGGTCTGCTCTCTCTGCAGAAGCAAACGTAGCCATGGACAATGCCCACTGTCTAGCTGCATGACTCAGGGACAGATTTTTCCTCATATATGTTAGAAATACTTTTCAGAGTCCATCTTTTGAAGTTATATTCAGCCATATGAGCAATCTGTGGTTACTGAACTCAACCAAACCTCTCAAAACAACACCACTAATTGCCAAGTAACATTTTGAGAAACAGCTGTAAATCACTGAAACCTCTATACCAAGGGTTGGCAAACTATGGCCTGTGGGCCAAATCTGGCCCACCACCTGTTTTTGTACGGCCTGTAAACTATGAAAGGTTTTCACATTTTTCAATGATTGAAAAAAAAACAAAAGAAGAATATTTTGTGACATGTAAAAATTACATGAAATTCAAATGTCAGTGTCCATAAATAGAGTTTTATTGGGCCATCGTCACACATTTGTTTATATACTCTCTCTGGCTGCCTTCTCTCTATAATAGCAGAGTTGAGCAGTTGTGACAGAGACCACATAGCCTGCAAAGACTAAAATATTTACTATCTGATCCTTTAAGAAAGAGTTTGCTGAGCCCTGCTCTATACCATTTCCTAAGGACAATCTTGAGGGACATATACGGGGAAAGGCCACCTAGATTGGGTATAATATGGCTTTAGACATTTATTCCAATAAGCACTCTGGTAAAAACCTGTTGATCCTTGCATGTTCATCACCTTTGTTAAAAAGCTCTAACAATGTTTCCCTGGACTGGAAATTAGGTGAGTTGAGTGATAATCTGCTTTGTCATGAGGACTGTATTATAAACCGAAACCCATTTAGGAAAAATTAGACTACAATCATGGTTCCCTTCAAGCACCTGTCTTTTTCCACGAACTTCCTGAAGTCCCTCCGATGAGGTGTGGGCACGAGACTTATGCAGGAGCGGAGAGAATCCTCTTCAGAACCAAAGCCAGTATAAGGTGGAAATTTCCTTTCTATTTTTGGAGGAGGTGGAGGCTTGCATGAAATGGGAGTAAAGTTCTCTGTAACAAAACAAAGGAAAACTAAACATCAATATTTTTTTTTCCCTGATTATGGCTGTTTTGAAAGGTCTGTTATGTTTTCAAGATGAACATGGAGATCTTTGGAGGCTATTTTAAACTCTTTCAAATAAAACACAGCAAAATCCTGTGAGAGTAGGTTCAGTCATGTTTACAAAAAAACAGAGAATTCACTCAATAATCACCACTAGTTCAAAAGAAAAAAAAAAAGGAACTGTCTGTGTATAAGTAAACATTTATCTTTTGTCATCACATTCCCATTTCTGAATATTTTTGTTCTTCCCTGACTTTTCCAATGATATGAAAATTCAAACTTGAAACTTTATGCCACCCATTCCACATTTTAACCTGTAATTTAGTCCTCTCCTATCTTCAGTCTACACTCACTAACAAAATTCCTTTCTAAACAGGACTGATTCCTGACTATTTCACCTTTACCCTTCCCCATGGACTCTGTCTTCTCCCCCTGTGCACCCTACCCCTTCCTTTCTTCCAACTCAACTATAGGCTGTGTCACTTCACTATCTGGTTTTAAAAAAAAAAAGCTCTTTCTTCTCACCAACCACTGCTCCAGGTTGTTTGTGTTACTGCCAAAGAAATGTCTGCAATTGTACTAGAAGGTGAGGGAAAAAAATCTTTCCCAAAATAGCCACCTGCCTATTATCTCAAAGGCATAGTAGGCTAAGTAGTGCTAAGTGGTAAATACTATTGATTTTATTTATTTACTTATCTTTTTTTGACTCATCATCCTTTACTTACAGGAAGGAGGGATGGAGAGAGCTTATGGCATATTTGTAGTGGCCTAGGAGCTTTTAGGTGTTCATTTGTGAGGTTGTACATCTCCAAGATACAAATATGCTCACCGTGTTGATCTGACCTACCCAGGTCACTGTGTTTGCCCCACCACAAATGGCAAAGAAGATGCCTGGATCTTTCCTATAACCAAACCAAACCAAACAAAAAACATGGAATCCACTTTCTACTTCTTCCCAGACTTTGAGTATACCATAGGTGTTTCCGTTCAAGAATAAAAGGAATTCCATAGAAGCAAATATTTCCTTTTCCATTTGTCAACGTTCTATAAGAGAAAATGTGCATCAATTTGTCATCCAAGGCAACCTAACTCTTTAAAAATAGAGGTTTTTTTTTTTTTTTTTTTTTTGCTGAGTTATCAAAAGGGTAAGGGTTTGAAGCCATTTCTAACTCTGATTTGGAAACATTTTCAGCTTTCACATTTTCTTAGACAATCTAGTAGCCTATGTGTGAAATCCCCCTAAGCATAATTCCCAGAGTATTGTTCCATCCTAACAGAAACTGCTCACAGAAGACATGCTGGCAAAGAGAATGCCATCAAGTATTTCTTACTGGCTCAGGAAAGGGAGCAGCCAATCTTTCAGGAAGCAACTCGAGTGGGGAGCCTCTCCTGGGGCTATTTTTATGAAGATTAAAAAGAAGTCTTGGTAATGAAGACAAGGCCAAATCTTAGAATTAAGCAGAATTGCAGTAGACTCTATCATTGCTAACCATTATATCAAACACATCACTGATTGGTACCTTGATTTAAAGGAGAGGATCGTAGAGGTGGCAGGGGGAGTTCTATGAGATTAGAAAATTGGGGCATGATCAGTTTCTTACAACAGGAGACATATACATAAAACTATACACACTAATCTGAGCAGTCCAACCAAAACAGGGTACATATTGAACTGCAAAGTAATTAAGAATGCATTATATACCTCCAAAAAACAGGTTTTATAACACAGTTGTTTTCTCAACCACCTAACTTTTACAACGGCAGTTAAGTAACAAAAGAACCAATTTAGAGCTTTCCTCTGCACCCACAGTGCCATCTAGTGTATAAAAGCCGAGTACTGTCCCACCCCATCATGCCTGGCTTTTACAATACCACATACATCTTTTTGGATATGCTGGTTCAGGATCCAACTTTAAATATCATTTCTCTGGGTAATACACATGCATTCACAAAGCTTCCAGTACACACACCTAAATGACAAGTTTCCTATCTTTGGTATGCCACCATCCTAGCACTCTGCATATTTCAAATGTTCAAAAATACTTCTTTCATAAATGAAAAAGTATGCATTTTTGTACAAAGCATCTTCCGAAATATCTTTTTAAACTGGCATTCTGGTAGATCCTGAGACACATTTGTCTTTCAAATGGTTTGATTCCTCTAATTCCAAGTGATTTGCAAAAACATATATATTGAATGTTTATCCACAATTAACTAGATTTAGATTCCGAGTTTATAGAGAGATGTTATATTTTACAAAGGAGTCATAATGCTCCTTCATGGGGATTTATTGTTTGCCATCTCAGTTGGAAGCACTACTGAGAAAAGCCTTCAAATACCTCAAAGCTGATCTCTTATGTTCTAGTAAGCCAGAGATGGACCTAGGTTTTGTGAAGCTTAATATAATTTGGGGGAAGTTCTTTAAGATCAAGAATATCAACTTATCAAGACAAAATTAGGCACAGGGCCCTGGAATGGGGCCCCTGCAAAGGGAGAGCACTGAAGCTTAAGCTTTATTAACTTCAAGGTAGATCTACCTCTGCTTGTACCCAGGACACAGGTAAAATGATTTTAGCAGGATATGTCATTGTGGGGTCAAATAATTCGTCAGTCACATAATGTTAGAGCTAGAAAATACTTAGGAATCATCTACTCCTCAACTTTTTTCATCTCCTAGGAGAGGAAAATGAGAGGCAAAATTGTCAGGTCCATCAAAGCCATGAAGTGAGGCCGGAAGCCAATTCTACCCCTTTTGCTGCAACTTGAAGTGAACAACTTGCTCAAATGATCATTAAGCACTCATCTTGGATGTCCTGTTGCCTCTAGCACCAAGAGTTCAGAGATACCCGAAATGACTCCACAAAATTAAAGGTGCTTTAAGATTTTTGCTCAACCTTAATCTCAGACCAGCCTAACAAGTGTTCAAAAGCAAAGGAATGCATGGTTTTCTTAGAAGTCTGGTTGTCACAGCCACGAAGATAAGAGAGCCCTCTTAAAGACAAAGAAATAACCCAAGGCAGGAATGCCTAGATAAGAACAGTTTACATTTAAACCCCTGCCCCTTCATGAAACAAATACCTGCTGGAGCCCCTGGAGCCTTTTCCAACCTTCCTGCCACAGGAAAGACTGAGAGGTCTCCACCTGCCAGTCTATACTCATCCACATAAAACACTGAAAGACTGACCTGCTATAGTCCACAGGGGAGCCAGGGACAGCGGGATGGCAAAGCTGCCCTATGGGCAAGCCATACTGGCCTGTTCTGTGGAGGAAGTCTAAGGAATCCCCTTTAGAATCCTTAGATGTATAAAACAGTCTTCCCTTTTTGGGAGTCAGATTGGGTTTTACACAGGGACTCAAATCTCAGAATTCTACCAAGTCCTCTGTTGCTACATAAGTAGAAAGGTTATCTGTGTACCTTCTGGGGACTGCGGTCAACTCCTCTTTGTCTGTCATTTTCCCCCCAAAATATTTTGGAGTGTCATTAGGTAGGAGAAGGCACTAAGCACCAAAGTTGCATATTACATTAGAAACCCCCACCTCCAGCCTACCCCCGGTTTCCCAGGAGGGAATTTCCTAGCTGTGTTGCTGGTACTTGTCAGCTCCTTCTTGTGGTGCTGAGTGGAGACAACCAGTATGCTAGTGAAGGGAAGAACACAAGGGAGGAAATGGGAATCACAGTTATTAACAAGGCTTTGTCCTGGTTTGGACTTCAAGGATACCAATCTGTAATGGATAAAATTTTGTTACTCTCATGAATTTTTAGGACCAGATGAATTACAAAGAAAATTAAAATGTCAGGAATAACCGTATCTGACACTTCACCAAAGAAGACATTCAGGTGGCTAACAGACACATGAGGAAATGCTGGAGATCACTAGCCATTAAAGAAATGCAAATCAAAACCACAATGAGATACCATCTCACCCTAGCATTACTGGCACGAATCAAAAAAAGAGAAAATAACAAATGTTGGAGAGGCTGCAGGAAGAATGGAACTCTTATGCACTGCTGGCGGGAATGCAAAATGGTACAACCATTTTGGAAAACAATATGGCGCTTCCTTAGAAAGCTAGAAATAGAAATATCATACGATCCAGCAATCCCACTCCTAGGAATATATCCTAGAGAAATAAGAGTCGTCACAAGAATAGACATATGCACACCTATGTTCATGGCAGCATTGTTCACAATAGCAAAACGATGGAAACAACGTAGGTGCCTATCAACAGATGAATGGATAAACAAACTATGGTACATACACACAATGGAGTATTATGCAATGATAAACAACAATGATGAATCTGTGAAGCATCTCACAACATGGATGAATCTCGAGGACATTATGCTGAGGGAAATAAGTCAGTCAAAAAAGGACAAATATTGTATAAGACTACTACTATAAAAACTCATGAAAAGGTTTACACACAAAAAGAAAAAATCTTTGATGGTTACAAGGGAGGGGAGCGGTGGGGATGGAAAAACACTAAATAGACAATAGATAAGCGGTAACTTTGGTGAAGGGTAAGACAGTACACAATACTGGGGAAGCCAGCACAACTTGTACAAGGCAAGGTCATGGAAACTCCACAGACACATCCAAACTCCCTTAGGGACCGAATTACTGGGCTAAAGGCTATGGGGACCACAGTCTCAGGGAACATCTAGCTCAATTGGCATAACATAGTTTATAAAGAAAATGTTCTACATTCTACCTTGGTGAGTAGTGTCTAGGGTCTTAAAAGCCTGTGAGCAGCCATCTAAGATACTCCACTGGTCTCACCCCTTCGGGAGCAAGGGAGAATGAAGAAAACTAAAAACACAAGGGAAAGATTAGTTCAAACGACTAATGGAACACAACAACCAAGGCCTCCACCAGACTGAGTTCAGTACTAGATGGTGCCCGGCTACCACCACTGACTGCTCTGACAGGGATCACAATAGAGGTTCC